CGGGCACCATCAGCTTTCCATCTCCCTCCCTGTAACTCCTCCCACCTCTACTGTGAATGCCACGTGGGCATTCTCTTTGTTCACTGGTGTATCCCAAGTGCCTGCCTCAGAGTTGGCATTTAGTAGCTATTTGTTGAACCTGTGAAGGAAGGAAAGAAGGAAGGAAGGGAGGAAGGAAAAATTGGTAAGGGAGCAAGAATATCAATGTGGAGGCAGGCTGACTAGGGCCTAAGTTAAGACCCTTGATATGAGGCTTTTATATTAGTTTTTCTATCTTAAAAATGTGAATACATTTAAATACTTTTTAAGCATTAAATGTTAAAAACTCTGTGAAGTATGAATTTTTGCATTTCTGGCCAGAAACTCATCCTTAAACACACACACACACACACACACAACCACACCACAAGTCTGAGCGTCTGACCCAGTAGAACTTGGCAGCAAAGAAAAAAATAAGGGCTGTGGAAGGTGCACTGCTTGGAAAAGAACAGCGGTCGCATCCCTGCTAGAGGGCACTGCAGCTTTGCTGTGCCTCTGAAGTGATGACTTGAAGATTTTTAACCAACAGAAGGTCTCTTCTTGGTTACCCGGCTGGAAATCTGACTTCTTCGGGATCCACAATTCTAGAGGCTTCCGGTTGCCCTTGCAGGGTTCCTGAGTAGAAGGGACCCTTCTCCCCCCTGCTCCGAGGGCGAAAGGGTGAAATTGGCACTGTAGTATTCACACAGAGAACCGGGACTTAGAAATACATTGTGATTCACATAGCAAAGCTGAGTGGTTCCATTTAAGTAAGAAGGGGAAGGTAAAGTGAGCTATAGTTGCAAATGTAGGTTCAAAATCATTATAAAGCAAACTGAAACTTTTCTAAGGAATATAAAACAAGACACTGGAAATGGAGAGACCTATTGTCAACGGTTCCATAATGCTGGTGAGAGAATACATTGTTTTAGTCCTTTGGGAAGTTAACAAACAACTTGCAGGGGATCAAGTATAGTATGAGGGCAGGCCCACTGGGGCAGGCCAAGTACTTCTGATTAAGAGTCTAAAATTGACACCCCTTTTGACCTAAAAATTCTATTTCTAGAGGTTCATCCAGTAGAACTACTTGCACAGTACTAAAAAAAAAAGTAGCTATAATAATGTTTACCTCAGAATTAGAAAAACACAAGTTGGAGTTCATATTTTTATATCATAATACATCCATGTGATGAAATATTAAAGTCCTTTAAAATAATGCTGTAACTCATTTTATGTCCATAGATGGAAAATTTCACAAAATAGTGTATATTACATTGCTCTCTTCTTAAGGTGTATATGTGTGCCTGTGTGTATCTGTGTGTATAAATCACAGGTAGAAAAAAGACCCTAGTATGGAATTAACTAAAATATTACCACTCTAGATCATCTTTAGATGGTAGAATTATATTTAGCCTTTTAGAATCATGAAATTGTCTCTAAAATAGAAAACTGTGAGCTTTGGAGGGGGACATATGATAGTGAAATAATTTGGGGGAGTCTGTACTAATCAATTTTCTCCCCTTTGCTTATTTAGATTTATTAAGACATCGAATGTCAAAGAGAGAGTCAACTGCTGCATTTTGTCTGCATTGCTCTTTCAGGTAACTCTGATTGTGGGAGCTTTCCTGTAGTAGCACAGCTATTCAGGATGTCAGCCACACAAGGGTGCAGTCATTTGTAAAATCCATAAAACGCACAATCTCTCATTCAATATCATAAGCCCATCTTTCTGTAGCTGGTTGAACCAGCTGTGAGACCTTCACTTGTAATTCAGCAGAGTCAGTTTTCTCCGTTAAGACGTCCAACGGGGAAGTTCCATCTCGTGCTGTTAGTAAAATCACATTGCTGGTGAGCAATGAAGCAGGTCTGCTTCGCTTGACTCTCAAATGGTTGACTTAGGTAACTTCATCTCTAAAGAAAGCGTCCCTGTTTGGATGACGTACAACGTGCCATGTAGTGAAGAAGGGAAGGGAAGAAATAAGTTGAAGAGTACAGCAAGGGAGGGAGCGTTTACCTGAAGTGCAAGACATTTTGAGATTCTGGGATTTAGCCATGGGCCTTCCAGTCTACTGAAGGTTCTGTTTATTTGGAAGGAGGGACACCCTTGTTCTGAATCAGAGGAGTCTGGTTAACTTAAGAAATTTGGAGAGAGAAGTTCTCCGGAAAAGGCTTCTCTGGATATGAGGCCAGACATTTCTCTTTTTCTTGTGTTCCATCTACCTCGTGCCTGTGCTTCAAAAGGAGGAGGCAGACTAGACAAGAATGCAGAGGAAATAATGTCAGGTTCTGATTCCTGATCTTCTTTCTACTCTGATATTTCTTATTCTTGAGGACAATTCTATTGATGCTTTAAGAAATACGTGATTAAAATTTTTTTTATATAATGTGATAAAGATTCTTTAGCAATAATGTTCCTAAATTTAAAATTACGTAGTAGAGTTTATTTCCAAAGTCAATTAATTTTTAATTCTCATTTTAAAGTAAGTTGGTAAACGTAAGCATTTTAATAACTACATATTATTTTAAAGTAGGATCCCTTGTAACTTTCATAGATAATCTGATAGAAATGATTTTCTGATAAACACAATAATTCTAGAATGCATTTGTCATTAAGAAGTGTTAATTATTAAAAAAAAGAAGTGTTAATTATTTAATATAATATTTAAAAAAAGAACCACTTCCACACGTAAATTTTTATTCTGTGTATTCAACTTGTCTCTGCGGCATCTAGCACATATACAGATACATGAATTAAATAGATCATAGATCATTTTTGTTTTACATAATGCATTTTAAAAGTTCAGCATTCATTGTCTAAGTCTGATTCAGCCTTCTTCAGAAAGAAATTGTCCCCCATCTGTAATATGTATAGCCTTATATATTAAAAAGAAAGGAGCCTTAAGCTCACAGTGGTCAAGCACTTAGTTGCTGACACAAAGGTGGGCAGTTCTAACTCAGCAGGTGTTCTGCAGGAGAAAGCTGTGACTCGTTGCTGTACCGCGTTCAGTCTTAGGAGCACTATGGGGTAGTTCCACTCTGTCCTGCGGGGCCTAGAGGAGTTGGAATCAATGTGATGGCAACGGGGTTGGGTGATTTTATTGGAAAGAGCATAGAGTTTTGAGTTAAATAAACATGATTTTAAATATTTTTTTTCTGCTATCATTAGCTGTGTGCTCTTGAGTAAATTAATTTATACACCCAGTTGTATCATGTATGACATTAAGTTCTTACATTCTAGGAGTTGGTAAAATAAGGATTAAATAAGGCCATGTTTATAAGGAACCTACTAACAGTACCCAACACAAAATTGATCCTTGACAAGTGAGCATTCTTTCTGAAAATAGAGATAACAGAATACTACTTTTCTTGTGAAAATGGTTTAAACATTCAACTACAATTGCATTCAAAAGGCCTACCTTGAATGATGAAAACAATTTACACATATAAAGATGGCAGCGATAAAACAGTAGCCATAGAGTTGATGCCAACTCCTGGGGACCTGATGTGTGTCAGACAGTTGACTCCACAGGTTCTTCAGAAGTAGATCGCCAGGCCTTTCTTCCTACCTGCCCCTGGGTAGACTTGAACCTCCAAACTTTTGGTCGGCAGCCAAAGGCGTTAAATTAACCATTTGTAGGTGTGCTAGGCCCTTCAGGAAGGAAACCTTGTACTTGATATTTTGGTCCGTTGATGCGAATGCGACTTGCCTCACTGTTTTTCATTTTCAGGGTTTGCTGAGAACAACCCTTCCACATCTGAAAGCCGAGCATTGTTATGCTCAATATGAAATCACTCAGCTTCTTCCAGGCATTGAGCTCTTCGCAGATAGATTCAGGGCTGACATTTGCTCTGTGGTTGCCAGTCTTTACTACATTATACGGGAACTTCACTTTGCCAAGCAGAATATAACTGTAAGTAATTTTTAGAATCACCTATGTTTAATTCCTTGTGGTATGTTTGCCCCACTTATCTGAGACTTTAAAGTTTATGACCTTTTTTTTTAACTTAAGTTTTAAACCTTAATAATTAAGATTCTGTACTAAGAAATAGAATTTAGTAATCGATTTTCTTGTTTAGACATCATTGTTTGATTATATTTGGGGTAAAAAATGTTTATTTGATTTTGCTCTCTTTTTTCACGCTGTTATTTTAGCTTCCCAGCCCCACATTGGGTGAAATTAATTAGAATGTGTGACTTAGCTCAAATGGAGGAATTTAGTGCATGTGCAATTCACTGCCCTAAGTCATTTAGTTCATAATCACTTAGGTGTTTTATTGTTTGTTAATGCTCAGATAAATTTATTTTTATATCTCTTGTCATTTCCCTGTGGAGGAAATTAATAACAAATTCTAACTGTGAAATAAAAGATTTGCATTTCTTTGTGCCCTAGGCAAGGCAAACCTTATAATACAAGTATCTTTCCTCTTGGGTAAAAAAAATTACAATATATGCGTATCATCATTTGAAGGAGGTTATGCTTTAAAAATAAATTAGTGTGTTGTCAAAATTCTTAGTTGTATAATATTTTTATCCTCTATCCCGTGTCTCCTATATTTCTCCTTTATGCTCTCACTTCTATTTTTTAAAAAACCGTGCTATTCTATACTTGGATTCTTTATTTGTTCTATTTTTCTTCTTTATATAATTTTCATAGCTACTTTCTTTTTCAGCCCACATATGTTTCTGTCCTCTTAGTATATCTGTTCTTCTAACTTCAAAATGCCTCTTTACTTTGAAAACATTTGCTGCCTCTAATATAAATTTATTAATTATATGAATGTGTGTCAAAGTAAAGAGGGTGACAAATACTTTTGACACTTCTCGGGTTTGTCAAGAAATTGTTTGTTAGAAAAAAAATAATACAATGATTTTTCTCTCATTGCTAAGGGGATTCATTTTTGACTTTAGAAAGTGGTTTTATCCCCAAGGGAACCTTTCTTTAGCTGCCTTGTCATATTCATTTATAATACATATCACTGTATTGGAAAGAAAATTAGAGGTTTTTCCCCTTCCAGAGCTTAAGAAATTGGGAAAGTTTTTCTGAATAATTGAGCAATTGGCAGCAATAAAAATAGTATGTTTTTATTTCTCACTAAAGAAAAGCTAAATCTCAAAGGTAATTGCCAACTCATTGTTTTGCACTGCATTAGTTGTAGGAAGGGCACTGTATTTTGTTTCGGCACCTAATTGTGGAAAAATATTGTGTTAGTTTGAAATCATATAAGACTCATTCTAATCTTTTAAAAATGTTGTTGCTATTAGCAGCTGCCAGTTGGCTGACAATTAGAGATTCCCTAGCTGAACTTGAAAAGACATAAAAAGATTCCATTCTGTGTTATATTAACCTTCTTCTGAAGAAGCCGGGGGACGAAGAAGACCCCTGACACATATAAAACTTGTTATGGGACCCAGAGCTATGGAATGATGGCAACATTTTCTAAACACTGGAAATCCCAAGACCCCTTCTTGCTCCATCTCCTTTTTGGTAGAACAGGATATAGTTTCAAGAACTAAACTTCAAGTTTGAGTTGAGATCAGATTCTACATAGAGATGTTTTGGCAAAACTGTCTACTCAGCACCTTTCTCTGGACAGCAGGTAGAGCAGGTAAACTACAAAGAGCTTCAGGTTCTCACCTAATTACATGACACTTTCAGAAGAGTGGCGCCTTGAGACTGTTACAGTTTCCACTGTGTCCCTTCTAACTCATGACAGCCCCAAATGTGTCAGAATAGAAATTTATTCCAGAGGATTTTCAATGGCAGCTTGTCAGGCCTGTTTTCTGAGCTCTTTCTTGGTAGGTAGGTGGTTGTTCATTGGGAGCTGCTCAAGGGACATGGCTACTAGTGCCTTTAACGGTTGTGTTTATTTGGTAAACCATTTCCTATACTTTTACTACACCACTCCATGATTTATATGTACACATTGGAATTTTCCCCTTAAGGAGGATAGCCAAATCGATTTTCATGCTTTTTAAAAAATTTCTTACAAGGTGCAAAACCTAGGGACTTGGGTACTAAGCACACCTGTTTACGACTGTATGTCTCTGAGAACCTATTACAATTCTGAAAATAACTATGAAGCATATGCTAGGTAGATCAATTTACTTATAACAATTGGTACACCTGTATGGTATTTGACAGGATATTTGTCTTTCTTTGATTATTACATTATTAACATGATAAAATGTAAGCTGAAACCAAGATTTCCCACCCCCATTAGGTTCTGCCTCTCCTAGCGTTGTACCAATACTTTGTGTCCAGAGTTTGCCAAGATGTTGTCAGAAGCATAGAAGCAAGACTCCTCAAGGTATCTTACAAGCTTTTAAGATATTTGATATTAAAAAATGTAAGAATTTTGTCATACATCAGTTGAGTTTTACCAATTATGAGAGCCATAGCCATAAGGGTAAGCTGATAATAACGTAGTGTATAAACCATTGTTATAATAAAATAGAAAGGTGGTTACAAAGGTGGTTAATCATTTTATGTTGGCCTACAGAACATGAGGAACATTTCTACCTAGAGACGAGCTTACCTAACACCAGTCTGTTTGGTAAATAATGCTCCTGAGGGACTGAGTTAGGAAATAATGCTTCCAAGGGACTGAGTTAGGACTGTAAAATTACTATTAAGAATCTTTATGTGTTTCATAGAATACAAGTAGTTATCATTGAATTAAAAAGACAAAGAATCATTATATAGCCACCATTTGCACCAGATACTGGCTGAGGTTCTCTGCCTTGAGGAGTCATGTGCAATTGGCTTGAACCTTCTTATCTGGTGTGGGGGCCCCATGTGCCTCTCATTCTCTCTGTCCACTTTCCTAGTCATCTATGATCGCAAACTCGCATTTTTCTTGATCTCAGTTTGTTCATGGATCATTTCAATGCCAGAAAATGTTCCTGTTTTTAATCTTATCAACTCTAATACGGAATGCAGTCCTCTTTCATCTCTCTCTCTCTTACACACACACACACACACACACATTAGTTATATATAAACACATAAAACATATTTATCAGACATGTATTTATGTCGTTGACTTTATTGAAAATTAGAAAGATAAGAAAATTTAATGTGCAGCAAGACAAACAGTTTAAAATAGAGTATTTGATATCCCTGAGCTTAAAGTGCTTCTTGGCCCATATGCCAAGCTTTAGCTTCTCATCTTATGGCTTAATCAGCTGTGTGTTAGTAAATGTTTCACCGGCTTCCCCTAACAACCACCACTACCACTACGATTGGTAGCATTTGCCATTTCCATGGTGTAAATACTTCCATCATAGCTGTTTTCAAACTACCAAGTTGACATCACTGTACATGATCGTGAACAGGCTATGGACAGTTGGTTCTCGCAGTTGAATGAGTGGGCTGCAGTACACAACCGACCTACCTCTTTTCCCTTTGGGTGAAGTACCCTCTGCCCCTTCCCCAAATCCCTCCCATTTTATAACTCTAGAAAATTAGAGTTCCCTGTGAACTGCTTTGTCCACCCAGACTCTGTCCTTGGGCCTGTGTTTTCTGACCTGAATAGTTCATTGAGTTAGTTATATTTCTAGATAAAGTTACTAAGTTTCTTAGTAGAAATTTTGGAAATGACTAATAAGATAACGTACTTTAATCTGAAGTAAACAGATCATTCGTTATTGGCCATGAGGATTGCTGGATCACTATCTCTCATTTAATGTGCTCGTAAAGGCTCTCTTGCTTTTGAATTCGAACAATACTTAAAAAAAAACATAGCACATAACTTCTCTCTTATCCTTTTTTTTTTAGCGGCTTTCTATCTCTGACTGCAAAATTCCCAAAGGCAGGACTTGTATCATATTCATCTTTTAATGTCTGTTGATAGTAATAATATTGATGCTCAATGGTTAATTATTGAGTGCATTTGAAATCTATCAACGTTTATTAAAAGTGACTACTCCTCACACTTTCCTTAGTGCTTAGTGGGAATTCAAGTAGAAAATATTAATTAATATTTGTTGATTTAATTCTAAAACAACTTATAGAGTAGCTTATATGTAAAAGGGTTGTGTTAGTTGCTTGAAATACAAAGAAATGTAATACATGACCTTATAAAGAAGTGAACATCTGAAAAAGAAACAGGGTATGTGCATAACAATACATTATGCACTTGCCACTTATTAATTTTCAAATGCACATGATGAATGCTGGGTCTCCAGGAGAACAAAGGAGGAAGGAACAAATGGGTACTTAGGTCTCACTAACTACGTACAATTTCATCTTGGGAAGCCTCCATCTAACTGAGTAGGGCAAAGGAAGAAGAGAAAATACTCATAAAGATGACAATGTGAAAGATAAAGAGTTAAGAAAGTAGTGGCTTGTTTGGAGGAACAAGTCAATGGAATGCCATGGAGTGGAAGTTTAATTTGGCAGTTTTCAAAGATAACATGAGGATACCAGGGGCCTAGGATATGAAGGACCTTTAACCTTAAACTTAAGAGACACAATATGGACATCAGGCAATGATAGAAATTAGGAGATTATGGAAATGGATTTGGACCACAGACAGCCTAGTCTACCATCCAATGGTAAGAAGCTTAGTCATTTGGTCTCCTTTGGTGTACTGACAGCTAATAGTATGATAGCAGGGCAACCAGAAAGGCATTGAAAGATGACTTTTTTCTTCCTGTTTAATTGGACTGTCAGTACCTGGAGGTTGATTCCTCCCCAAAGAGGAGCTTTAAAAGCCAGGGAAGTGCTGTGATCTCTGCTCCGTACCCTTGAATTGGGAGGAGCCATTAATTATAGAACTTTGGGCAGGAGAATTACATGATCATTATATCTGATAGCAGTGTTGGGAGTAGAGTGAGACAGAAGTGGGATCCTACAGGCATAATAGGAGTGGGAAACTGGACCAGGGTTTTGACAGAATCGATGATAAAGGGCAAGTGATGGATTGTACAGAAGCAGGAGTGACAACCACAAGAGCAGAGTTTGTCTGACTTTTATGAAGTAAACCAGGGTCAGTGAGTGGGAAGTGAGAAAAATCACAGGCAGGAAATACAAGCAGCGAAGCTCTCTGACAAGTCAAGCAGCAATAGATCACACTGTTAAGTTTCTGTAGGCCAGAGATGTCTGTCAGGGAAAGTTTGAAGCTCTTTTTACAATCAATTGGTCTGGTTTCCCTTTGGAACTGCCAACATCTTGAAAGGTTTAGTACTCTCAGCATATCAAATGCTCCAAGGGAGAGTCCTGACAGTTCTGTTTCTGCGTGAGTGAAGAGTTGCTTAATGGGTTAGTCTTTCTGCCATCTAGCGTGTTTGTGCTCACTGTGTTGGCCACTAGTGAACATTTATGTCCTTTGTTATTATCATGGAATTGGCAAATGGTCAGATTGATAAAATATACTCAAACCAGGGGATTACCTTGACCATTAGATGTAATTCATTTAGAACTACCTTGTAATCACGTTCAGATGAGACTAAAGACTGTTTCCTCGTTGAGATAATGAGCCATCTAGGGCATCTAGGCATGTGAAAGAGTCCTTATGTTTCCAGGGTGATCATCTTGAAGGTGTGTAGTCCTGGAGAGATTAGCGCCCAAGGTGTTTTAGCACCATGCAACCAAAGTATACAACTCAAGTGACACATATGTTTTCCTTTCCATCAAAAATCTTCTCCTGACCTTTGGTGCTTATTTTTACATATTTTATCCCCTGACTTACCTTCTTTTTGGATTCTTTAAAGTGTATGCATCCTTGAGATTACTAAAATACAGCTAAAAGTAAAAGAGTAAGATGGGTAAATATGTCAAAGATTTTCTCTTCTTTTGGTTTAAAAATTACCCTTAAATTTATATTTGTACTTGGAAACCAAAATAGAAGCAATCCATATTTGTGCCTATTCCAAAGAAACATGACCCAACAGAGTGTGGACCTTATCACATAGTAACATTAATGATCAACACATCACCACACATGGATGGATTGTTATGAGTTGTAAGAGCCCCCAATACAATGATCTTTAATAAAAAAATATAAAAACATTAACATCACTTGAAAATGAAATTTTGCTGGAGATAATTAAAAAACAATTGCAGTAGTTCCTTGAAAGGGATCTACAAGAAATTCAAGGCAGCTTCAGGAGATGACATGGCATGAGAGATATGATTGCTGCCATCAGGTGGGTTTTAGCTCAAACCAAAGAATACCACAAAGATGTTTTATTAACTGTGGAACAGGCATTTGGCTGCAAACTACTGATAACACTGTTAAAAATGGAAATTCCAGAATGCTTCATTGTGCTCATGTAGAATCTATATATGGACCAAGAGGAACTAATCATTTGAACAGAACGAAGGAATGCTGCCCAATTTGAAATCAAGCAAACTGTGCTTCGTGGTTCTATCCTTTCACTATACTTATTCAATCTGAGAGAATATTCCAAGAAGCTGGACAATATGAAGAAAACAAAGTATCAGGACTGAGGGAAGACTTATTAATAACCAGAAATATGCAATGACACACCCTTGCTTGCTGAAAGTGGGGAGGACTTGAATTACTTGCGAATGGAAATCTAAGCTCATAGATTTCCGTATGCGCCACAACTCAATTGAAAGAAAACCCAAATCCTCACAACTGGATCAATAGACAACATCATGATACATGGAGAAAAGATCGAAGGTGTTAAGAATTTAACTTTATTTGGATCCACAGTGAATACTTATGAAATAGCACTGAAGAAGTCAAAAGACATATTGCGTCGTGCAAATCTGTGGAAAGACTATGGAGAAAGTCAATATCATTGTTCAGGACTAGGCCCGGAGCTGACTGTGGAAAAGACCATCAAGTGCTCCTCTCTAAGGACACGTTAAAGCTGGAGAATATTGAAACAAGTTCATGAGAGCCAAAATACAACCTTGAGTATATCTCACCTAAATTTAGAGATTCTTAAGAATAGAGTGAACACCTTGAATACTAATGACAACAGATCAGATAAGTTGTGGGGTGGGGGACTTCAAGAACATCATACGTGACAAAAAAAAATTCATTAAAAACACAGGAAAGAAAGAAAAAATCAAAGTGGGTGTCAGAAGAAACTCTAAAATTTACTCTTGAATGTAGAACAGGTAAATTGAATGGAAGAAATCCCACCAAAGAGAAGAACAGATTTCAACTGGAGGTTCAAGAAGACAAAGTAAATGATTGTTGCCAAGTGAGCAGACTTGGAGGTCGTAGAGATAAAGGATACAGTACTGGAAGTGCTCACTTGTCTCTGCACAGACGTTTGTTATCCGATCAACCAACCGGAATAGATCCATAGATGTGCCAACTCCAAAGACGGTGGGGATTGTCTGGTAATATTATTAATATCACACATGTCAAATTTTGCTCATAAAAACTTGAAAAATGGTTGCAGTAGTACATTGACCATGAACTGCCATAACTTCAAGCCAGATTCAGAAGAGGACTGGATTAGGGCTATCATTGCTGACTTCAGATGCATCTTGGCTGGAAACCGAGAATACCAGGAAAACAAGTTTACTTGTATTTTATTGACTATGCAAAAGCATTTGACTGTGTGGATTATAAAACATTATGGTTAGCCTTGAGAAGAATGGGCATTCCAGAATATTTCACTGTGTTCATGCAAAACCTGTGCATAGACCAATGGCAGTCTTTTGAACAGAACAAGAAAAGACTGAGTGGCTTAAAATCAGAAAAGGTGTCAATCAGAGTTGAATCTTCTCATCATCTGTATTCAATCTCTAGGATGAGCAAATAATCTAAGAATCTGGACTATATGAAGGCGATGGGAGGCAAGTTCATTCTCCTGTGAGATGCAGCTGACACAAGTTTGGTTACTGAAAGTAAAGAGGCCTGAAGGTACTTCCTGATAAAGATCAAGCACTACACCCTTCAGTACAGGTTATACTTCAATGTAAAAACAAACTGTAAAACCCACAATCCTCACAGCTGAACCAATAAACAACATAATGATAAATGGAGAAAGGATGAATTGATTTCATTTTACTTGGATCCACAATTAACGCTCACAGAAGCAGCAGTCACAAAATCTATCCATGTATTTTGACTGGACACACCTGCCACCAAACACCTCCTAAACGTGTCCCGAAGCAAAGTGTCACGGTGCCGAGGAAGGTGCAACAGGCTGAAGTCGCAGTATTTTCATTTGTCTCATCGGCATGGGAAACGTGCACAATGAATATGGAAATCTGGAATATCCATGCCTTGAAGGACTGTGTTGGCAAAGAGTATTGCCTCCACCATAGACTGCCAAAAGGAAAAAGCAGACGTGTCTTGGAAAAGGTACCGTGGTGTGCCCTCAGGTATTTTGGTCATACTATCAGGAGGGACTAGTCCGGAAGAGGGGCCTGATGTTGGGTACAGTGAAAGACCAGTGACAGAGGAAGCCCCTCAACGAGAAGACTGACAGTGGTTGCACAGTGGATGCCAACATTGCCAGGAACTGAGGATGGTGCAAAGAGAGGGCAGCACTTCCATTTTTTGTACAGAAGATTTCTCAATGACTTGTAACCTAACAACAACCAAAACACATGTTGAATAACTGAATTTGAACGGAACATTTTCTTTTCACACCATAAAATCTTCATTAAAATCCCTGATGGATTACATTAAAAATACAACTGTATAGCTATTTCTCAATGAATGTGAAGTATATGTCTATAAAATTAGCTCAATGAATGTGAAGTGTATGTCTATAAAAGTAAATATCCATTAATTTTGAAAAGAAAATTAATAGTTGATATGCTGATACATTATGGAGTGAGTCTATGGATTTATTTAACTCTTGAGTGTCAGAGAATATCATGCATGGTGTTTTCTTTGTTTTTAAACTGTAGTTAACCATGAGAATTAAAAAAAAATCTTGAACTGTTTTTCATGTCTATCATATATTTCTATGTGTGCAGTTAATGAAATAAGAAACAAATGTTGTCCATCATTATACAATAGTGGACTGCTGTTTATTGGTTTCTTGGTCTCCATGAACTGTACTTTTACACACAAAGTGTACTTTCATCTGTCTAAATTTAGTAAGCTTTGAGGTATAATGCATTTGCAACATTAAGTAGCAATGATGGATCTCAAATTTTGATGATTTTCCTTTAAAATTTTTATTTTATAAGTGAAGCAAATTACTTACTTTAAGATCTCATCGACTTTTCTTTTCCTTTAAAGGTGGAAGTACTTACAGAATTAGGATTATTTTCTGAAGCCTTTTATGAAATGACCCAGATTTTGCAAGGGAAAAGCATTCCCTCCACAGTCCCTGCTGGCCACAAACCGACGGGAAAAGCAAAGGTAATTCTGCCTATTTGCATCAGAGTCATTTATTTCCTTTTGAAGGCCAATTTCCTAAAATTAGAAAACATTTCCACAAAGGTGTGTTTATAAGATATCCCAGTGTGTGATATCCCAAACCTCTTCATTAAGACTGGCTATAGCTCACATCACATTTTCATTTGTTAGGACCTGCCTGGAAATGGCCATGAATTTGAGGTAGAAAGGTGTCACAGAGCTTGTGTTAGGCAGGGTTCTCTAGAAAAAACAAAGCCAGGACACTTATGATAATAAATATATATATGGATAGGTTTATACAGCAAGAAGGAATATAATGGCAGATTAGTCCACCCAGAAGTACAGAAGGCTCAGTTCAACTCACTTTTGTGGAAGCAGTTAATATAGTAAAGGTCCTTCAACTCACTAGGGCTGCCAGTCCAAGGTCAAGGAAGCAGAAAGTGGACTCTTGATCAGGCAAGACTGGCAGAGTCGGCCACAGGCAGCAGGCAGCAGGGTGGGGCACCGATAGTCAGAAGTGCAGGGAGCTTAGGGATCTCGAGCTCAAGCAATGTACACAGGGTGACAAGATTCACCAGCCTCGAGAGATGTATGCAGCATGGAGAAGCAGGTCTTGAAGGAGCCTCAAGCTCTAGCAACATGAGCCACAGGTTGGCTCAGCCAACAAATAGTACAGCATACAATCGAGGCAAAGAACTAGCTCAAGCAGCAGCACGCTGGTCCGATCACCAGGGAGGAAGAGAGATGGGGATACCAGCTACAGAAATTATTTATTTCGTTTGCCTTCCAATCAAGCTGCAACCTGATTAAACTCTGCCCACATGTTCTTATGGAGGCCTAGTTGGTACAACGAAACTATCAACAGAACAAGAATACAGTTTTAGAATGGAGGTTTGTAACTGAATTCTGGCTTAAGGATGCTGCACCATGCTCTTTCATGTCCTTGCAGTGGGCAGTTTCATTAGACACATTTATCACCTATTTCTTAGATTTTTAGTCTAATTTTATAATCTTTGGTTGATGTTTTTCATCAAAATTGTTTCTTTTAGCTTATTTAGACCTTTTTTGATTTATATACTTCATACCAAAGAGTTAAGAATGCATTGTGCAGTATTTTTATCAAATATTCTAAACAGGAATCCCAATTAAGTGGGAGAAAAATGCAGAACAAATTTCAAACGCTGATGAACTTCAGGCTTCTTGGAGCCAGGGAGGCTGGATGAGCCTCTGGAACTATTTGTCCTGGGGTCATCGTTACTTAATTTTGATTTTTTAAAAAGGAACAATTTTATTGACATAATTTACATATCATATAATTAAGTGGATTAAATATATTAAAAAGAATTGTTCAATCATCACTACCATCAATTTTAGAATGTTTTCTTTTTTCTTGTACTCATTTTTTAAATTAATCATTTTATTGGGGGCTCTTACAAATCTTATGACACTCCATCATTTAATTGCATTAAGCCATCATTTAATTGTATTAAGCACACTTGTACTATGTTGCCATTAACATTACCAAAACATTTTCTTTCTGCTTGAGCCCTGGGATCAGCTCCTCTTTTTTCCCCTCCCTCCCCCACTTTCCCACCCTAGTGAATACTTGATCAATGATATATTATTGTTGTTAGTTCATGTTTTACACTGTCCATTGTCTCCCTTTACTCACATTTCTGTTATTCGTCCCCCTGGGGGGGTGCTATATATCCAACCTTGTGATGGGTTCCCCCTTCCTCCTCCTCCCTACCTCCAGCCCCACCATCCCCCTACCCTCATGATATCTCTACTTCCACTACTCTTATCCTCATTATTATTAGCTTCCCCCTTTCCCCTAACCTCCCCTGCTGTAACTCTTAAGAAATGATTAATCCAGGTACTGTCTCTATCCTGGATTTCATATCAAGAAAGCCACACAAAAAGAAAAGCAAAATCCACCAACCAAAATAAAACAGAGAATAACCTCAATCCAAAAGTAAGCCCCAGGTCCTACATACTAAATTATGGGTTGTGTTAGTCTGGGTTGACCAGAGAAACAAATTTATTGAACACCTATATGTGTGTAAGGAAGAGGTTTATATACAAGAGCAATTGTATAACTGAGAAAACATCCCAGCCCAGTTCAGATCAGGTCCATAAGTCTGATATTAGCCCATATGTCCGATACTAGCCCATAAGCTGCTCTTTAGACTCATGCAGCACACACAATGATGCTGCATGCAGGAAGATCACAGGCCAGTAGGTAGAAGGTCTTGTGGCTCCAGTGGCAGTGGAAGCATCTCAACGCTGCTGTAGGTCTCTGTGAGTCTCCACATGTCCTCTCTAGCTATCTGAGTGTCTCAACAGTGGGAAAGGGAAGGCATGGAGAGTGGGTCTGGCCTCCTGAGAGCTCTCTATCTCCTTGTGCCTCCAAATGAGGTCATAATGCTGCAACCTGATTGACAGGCTAGACTCCACCCCTTTGCTTACTTTTCAGGAGGTTATGTAACTGCCACATGGGTCCAAATGGAGAACAAATGATAAGATGTTAAACTTGAACCTAATTACATCTGCATTAGCCCACTTTCCAGTGCACTCTCTCTGATTAGCAGGGGTATTCACATCCCAGGTTAATGGTCAGAGGGGATTTACTAGAGGCTCAATCCACGTGGGAACACTGCAAATGGATTTTGGGCTTTCACTGTCATTCATAGCCTGCTGCAAACTGAGTGCTCAGAATTTAAGTTCTGATAGAGTTTCCTCCTTCGGTCTTGGATTTTATTATTTACAACCCTTGCGTCACAGGCTGGTGTGCTCCTTTTGTGTGTACTTAGCTGACACTTCACTTAAATGGCTGCTTGTTTTAAGATACACCTTCAAGTTCCCAGGTGCTGCTCTTTCTGTTAGCTGGGCACTATCTGATTTCTTCACTACACTCTGTGATAGCACCCATATCGTCAATGTGAGATCATCTTTAAATCTTAAGCCAACAATGGCCCTTAAAATCTTCTTAGAACCAATCATTTAGCTTAATTAGTTAAAAAAAATGTCTGCCTTGATTATTGTGCTTTTTAAAGAACTTTCTCTATTGGGATCAAATTGACAAACAGCAACTGGAAAGATTAGATAGGAGCCTTAAAAGCTGTGAATTGTATACTTTATTGTTTATATTCTCAGCAACAACCACACAATAAATAAGATCTAAAAAGACTATGGAAAAAAGAAATGTCCTATTCAACTTACTTTTGCTTTTGTCAGGGTACAACTTTGCCTCATCCTTTTTTTTTACTTTAGCAGATAGTTTTACCTGGATTGCATAATCTGGATGTGTAAATTAGATGATTGAAGCATCATCCTTGAAAATAATTATCACAGCTGTATTTCAAGTATAAATTAAATCAGAATGACGTTTCGCTCTCCTCTGCCTTAGTTTTCATGGTGATCTGGGAACCATTCTGTAAACTTGCTTTAGGCAGATTTTGGACCCTCTGGACCACAATAAAGGAAAGAGGAGGTAGCAAGTCCGTTTGCCTGGGGGAAATTGTGTGTGAGGAGTGAGGCAGACGGACACCATAAACATGGGCTGGATTAAAATTCAGAGGTCTTAAAAGAGCTTGGGGAATGAGTATGTTATAAACCTTGAAAATTACCTGCATAAATGGCATTATATTTACATATGTTATGTCTGTCCATTGTTTCAATACTGTACTACAATTTACATGACTTATTCATCACTATGATGGTTACAGCATTGTAATAGGGTTATTTGTGTATTATCTCTACACCCAAGAGAGCTGTTCCTTAGGGAATATGATCTATAAATGTGTGTCTATACATACACACACACACACATACAGAGAAAGAGGGACCATGCCTGTGCACATACAGGTTTGGAAGAAAAACTAGGATTAGAGATAGACACTTACTAATTACTGTTCCATACATATTTATTATATACTTGGAATTGGTGGAAACTGCCCAGGAAATGCACAAGTAAATAAAAGACCATTAGAAAGGGTTATGGGGAACAAACATGGAAAAGGGAGAATTCAGCAAAGGGAATGTAGTAGAAGACGCTGATGCTTCTTCATCCTGTGCTCCACGGAGCTCTAGGCTGTCATAACTAAGGGATAATCTATACTTGAAAAGGATACCACTTATCTACCATCACACACACACACACACACACACACACACACACACACACACGGCCTTCGAGTTGATTCCAACTCATAGCAACCACATGTGGTTTCTGTGGCTATAAATTGTATGGGAACAGACAACCTCATCTTTCTGCTGCAGAGTGGATGGTGAGCTTCAAGCACCAACTTTTCAGGTAACATCCCCCTGCCTAACCCACAGCACCACCAGGATCCTTTGCATTTGCTCAGCGAAAGAGGTGGTAGGTTCATATTGTGAGTTGTTTACTGACATCCCTAGAGGAATCGTAATTCAAGCCTATACTTGGTGCTCATGGGTCAGTATGAAATAATGTGGGTTTTACAGAGATTAACTCTAAGCTATCATCTACCAACCTTGGCTTGTCTGTTTGGCATAGTGCAGTGGCAAACATGTGGTGTTATGATGCTGGAAATTATGCTAGTGGTATTTCAGATACCGACGTAGTCATCATGGTGGACACGTTTCAGCAGAGCTAAACTTTAGCCAGTGAACTTCCCTGGATCACAGAAGACCATTGTCTGTTGTGATCCGGTGCTGCAACAATAACCTCATTTATCCTCACTGGCTGTGTCAGGCATCGCGCTCTATCCATTCTCACCCCATTCAGTAGGAATGGTAGCTTGATGAAGAGGCGATTTCGTTCCCATTTTGAAGACAAGGAGATGAACTTAGAGGGGTTAGTGGCTTGCATAAAACCACATACAGTAGTTGGTAAGCATCAGAGCCAAGATCCAGACTTCCAGCACTCACTTCAGTGCTCTCTCTTCACTTTTACTGGTATACCATTTAGCCGCTGTGTGAAGAGTTACACATCAACTACCTGCTCAGATTCCTGCCTCTCTGAAATCTTCCCTCTCTCTGTACGAAGGTGCCCTTGAATTTGCTGTCGCTGCAGTTGCCACCTCAAACGCCACCATCTACTTCTTCCCTGCTGGTGAGCTCACAGTTATTAGGACCAATGCCAGACTCTTCCCTGGCACCCAACCTCCAAGAATTCCACTCGCTCACCACTGGCCATGAGACCAGTGGTCTGTTTTGTTCAGTCCAAGGAAAACCACACCCCAGCGAGGCTTTATGCAGAAGGCAGCAGCAGGAAGGACCAGGGACGGTTGGAGCATTTGGGAGGAAGACGTTTGCAGTAGGAACGATGCTTTGACCATGAGCTCCACAAGGGCTTTGGAGAGTTCATGGAAAAGCCATCTTTGTTTTATGTAGATGGAGTAAACAAGGATAGGAAAAAAGAGGGGGGGGGGAATGCAGGGAAGTGGGGTGAGTGGGTGACTTCATTGGATATATTGTTAAATTGGCTCACAGGTTTTTTGTGTGTACATTTTCACAATGATTGAAAAAATTAAGGCCACTGTTAATAATCTAAATGAGAGGTGATAATGTGGGGGACGCAGTGGGGAAGTGGTCGAACGCAATGGCGAAGTGGTCGAACTCTGATTGTGCTGTGAAGATAAAGCTGACAGCAATTGCTGATGATATTTGGAGATGGGTAAAGAGAAAGGGTTTAGGATGTTTACAGCGTTCAGTCTAAGCAACTGGTAGGAAAAAAGCTTCTATTTTCTGAGATGGGGAATGCTGCTCAGACAACCAGGTGGGCTATGTTTGAGTGCTTTGAGTGGGTGGTCTAGAAATCAGGGGCTCTAGATATAAATCCCGTCCAGCTTCAGGCGCTGCAGGTGTGCATGTGGGACTCATTAGCACAGAGACTTCAACGAGGAGGAATGGGTGAAAGCGCCGGGGGACTGGACAGTGAGAGAAAGAGACAAGTCCTCCACATTCCCAGGCCAGGCAGGTGGGAAGGAATCAGAAGAGCAGAAACAAAGAACTCGCGGGCAGAGTGAGGGAGACATCATTGGCCACTGTTTCCACCCAAACAAATTAAAAATCTGAAACTAATTATTTTTTTTAATGTAAATCCTGAACTTCATTTTTATCAACTAGTTTCCGTAAGACAAGTCTGTGGGTGAGTTTTCTCTCTCTCAATGGATTCTGATGCCAAATTTTGTATTCTCACAGTCAATTTGCAGCTTTACAGCCTCCGGTGAGAATTTTTAAAAATGTAATTAAAAGAGGAAATACATTCAGGGTTTATAATTAAAATAGTGCCAATATTACTAGGCCCCGGGCTAGATAGCCAAAGAAAGGACTCATAAATTAGATTTCAGATGTGGAAGCAGTGCTGAGACAACAACAGCAAAGCCACCAAACCAAACTTACAGGTTCCTCGTGGATTTTTCACAAGCCTAACAAAAGTTTGTATGCCTTGACATTATATCTGCATTTGCTCATCACCAAGCCTAAAGTCCCATTGCCAACTCTCTTCACTTTATTCCAGCAAATGTTTCCCTCTGGATCCAATTACTCTCTTTTCAAGGTATTCTAGGAAATAAAGAATATCTTCAAAGAAGAAACTTCTGATTAAGACAAGGATTTGGGCACAAGTAAGCAAGCAATGTGTTTGGGAGGTAACCCTAGGACTCCTTATGGATGAATGGGAAGATTAAATAGGCAGGAGAGAAATCAGTCCAGAGGGTATTGCTGAGAAGGTCAGGTCGTTGCTGTGGACCACTAGAACCCAAGAGGGACTAAGTAGACCATCTCTCTCTACCCCCTTATTGATGAGGGTCCTTCCTGCTTACCCCCCACCCTCCAAGCCTGCATGTTATTATTTGCTCTTAGGCAAAGCCCTGGGCGGGATGCCATCCAACTGTGAGGGACCTGCTTCTTGAAGCTGACAGTGATTCTGGGTGACTAAAGGCATATAGGTGGGAGTTAGTACTGGCTTGTCAAAGTGGGTCTGCTTTAAAAAGGGTCTTTTACACCAAGAGAAATGAGTCCTACATGATGGCACAACAATCATCTGTGGCAAGTAAATCGGATATTTTCTGGCAAAACATCATATTTAGAGTCAAGCATATGAACAATTAATCCACACAAAAAGGAAAAGACCACAAAAACGACCATTCTAAACAGTAAGGCAAATTCATCTCCAACTAGCACCTCAAAAAACCCAGACTCCCTGACATCGACTCAGTGTCAAGCTGGATGCAGTAGAAGTGCCCCTGTGGGTTTCCAAGACTGTCATTCTTGACAGACGTAGAAAATGTCGTAGGACTCTGTTTTTGTTTTTTTAAGTTTTATTGGCATGTAATTCACATATATAATTCAATCATTCAGTCATATTATAGAGTTGTACAATCATCTTCACATTTTCTTCTTTCCTGTGCTCATTGTTAGAAGCTTCCCATTTCCCCCCCACCTCCCCCTGCCATAGGCCCCAAGAATCCATCAACACAGTGGCTGTCTGAGAGAGCTTTACCCGTCCTGGACTTCAGATGCGGAAAAGCACACTCAAAAAACACAAAATCAAAACAAAAACAAACAACAACAAAACACCCCTGCACTCTGCACGCAAGCAGGCTCTCCGGTCCCTGTGCATGGCCATAGGACTTTTCAAAGCGGTAAACACTGCACTGCTGACAGCGCAGTGGCCTGGCACTTTCAGTTTTTGTAAGCAGGAGGGGAAGTTGAGTCAGTCCCTTGTAATTTTTTTCTCCATGTTCTTATCTCTTGAGCCAGAAACATTGTTTCCGGAATACCTAAAGGTGAGAATTAGAAATATTGACAAAAATACCATTACTATTACTTAAAGTAGGACTGAATAATGGGGTGAGGGTGGGAAGCAGTCCCTGATATGTCTAAAAGAAGAAAAAGGGTTATTATGGTCTGGTCATAGGCTAGATTCTAGCCGTTAGAACATTACATAGCTGTAATAGTGAGCTTTCCAAATACCCGCGGAGCATAGGAAGATGGTTATGATGTAATTGTTAGGTAGCAAGATAGGGGGTTGTTCCTCTCTATGCCTAGGGGCCCCCTCCAGGAAGCTGGAAGCCTATAAAGGCTAATGGGCATGCACCAATTCAGGCTCCAGTCGGTGAGGTGTGTGTGTGGGGTACCTACACCTAGGTGGGCGGTACACCTGGGTGGTCCAAACTAGGCCAGGTGATCTTAATTCAGCCAATGGAGTCAAAGAGTACCATCGACCACGCCTCCCAGCTGAAGGCCCTCGAAAGGCCAAACTCTTTCCCCTCTCCCTCTTCTTCTCCCTACCCCCCTCTCCTCCCCCTCCCCCATGAGCCCTTGATAATTTATAAATTGTTATTTTGTCATAGCTTGCCCTGTCTGACATCTCCCTTCACCCACTTTTCGGTCGCCCCCTCTCCTCCCCCTCCCCCCTCCCCCTGCCCCTTCCCCTCCCTTCACTTCAGGTCACCATGTGCGTGGGGTTCAGTCCTGTGTTCAGTGAACTGTGAGACCTGAAACTTCTGTCCTTTATAAAAACTCACTTGGATCACAAACCAAGCTTAGGCATGAATTCTTTCTTGTATAACGCCAAGAATCAGTATATTTCCCACCCAAGGAATCTAACATAATGTTTAGAGAAAATGATTAAAATGGGTGTGAATATTGTATGCATATATATTTGTAATTTTAAAAATACACCAAAAGAAATTTGTAGAGAAAACATGAAAGATTTAACATTGGTGACCTTAAAAAGTTTATATGGATGAATAATCTTTTTCTTCATATATACTTGTACGTAATGTATACATATACACATATTTCATGGTGATTTTTAATTGCAATTAGGTGGGGGCTTACATTGCAGATCAATGTTGTATTCAACAGTTTAAACTACTAATTGAACCCTCCAGTAGTTTTTAAACACCAGATCTTATTTTACAAATTTCACTTTTCAATAAAGCACATCATACACATTATGTCCTGTCTTGTATGTAGAACTCCAGTATGCATTACTTTCACAGTAAAAAAGGTATCTAAAAGAACCGAGGGACACTTTTATTTAAAAGACTATTCAAATAACCTTGTTTCAATATTAACATTTTATATATTGACAGATGTTCCAATCATTTGACTCAGGAAAACCTCTTAATAGCCGAGAAAATATACAGGTAAGGATGAAAAATTCTTGAGTGATTTTAATCCATTTCATAAGGAGAATCTTTGTTTTTGAAAACTTTTGCCTTCCTAATTCTAATAATGAAATTTTCACAATACTGAGGCCAGAGGTAGGATTCCACCCAAACTTATCTTGCTTCAGATGAGGCAGTGATCCCCTCGTGTGCCCATTTCTTGGTTATAGTTGTACATTAATTTGTTCACCATGACTTGTCCAGTGTCTTTGAAGTTAGTTTTTATCTTAGTAGCCTAACAATAACCACTGACCTGGGTTGCAAGAACAGGATCTTGTACCGCTTGTGATTGCCCACTCGTAGCCATCTTTTTGATGGCGCCTAGACTGCCTCAGCCCACGACTTAGAGTGCATTCAGTTGGCATTTTCATAAGCAGCTCCTTTAACTTTCCTGAAAATTTTTCACTGAGAGGATTAAATGGTCCACCCAGATACCTTTGTGCCCAACAACGAGAGAATGATGTAAGCATTTGATGACCTAATGGCACCGTTGTAAAAAGTCTGAGGGATGTGGCCAATCTGATCCCATTGTTTGAGTGAAAGAGTGGGAGGCAGTCAGGGTAAAAGGGAGTCAGAGATAGGTAGGGAACTTGCAACATCAGGGTGACAGCTAATGCAGCTAAACAGGCACAACTATTTATTTTTTTAAATGCCACATTGTATTTTACAGACTTTACTTTTCTGTTGCCTTTCAGATTTTCAGATTTTTGTCTGTTTTTTTTTTTTTTTAATAAACAAGTTACCTGAAATCAAAGGGTCCATATTGGAAAAGCACAGATACACAGTCCTATTTCATTTTAGTGTTCTAAGACTTTGGGTTGTTTAAGAGCATTTATTTCTTCCAGTCATAAATGCCAGAACATCCTTTAAAAAAAGCTCCCTTTAAAAGTGGTTTGGGCATAAAAGGGACTGTCTGATCCTCTCTTGTTCCACAAAGAGAGATTGACAGCATAATGAAAAGCCCATTTCTATTAGCTAATTAATTAAAACAGTACTGTTGGTCTGCTTAAGACTCTTCAGATTACACTTTATATTTTCTGTACAGAGGAGAGAAAAAGGAGTGTTAAATAGCATTACTAATTAATCTTCTTCCGATCCTCAAGTGTTTGTGTGTAATTGTCAAGGCTCATTAAATCACTGTTTGCAGTGGAAAGAGGAGAGAGGAGAAACCTACTGTTCCCCACCCACAGTATCTTTTCTTCCTGGGGAAGGTCAGCCATGTCCCTAGCAGACTGGCCTCAGCTCTTTCTCCACTGCTCTTCTGTATGTGAATCAAATCTCACTCCTTAGGCAAGGGTAAAGAAAGGAGTCTGGTGCTTAAAGGTGAATAAAGAAAATGAGCAGAAAAAAAAGAAAAGAAAAGAAAGGAGTCTGAGCAATAGTAACAAAGATTCCCCACCCCCGGAACTGCCTCAAGCTCTCCCAAGCTGAGCTTTCTGTTTGCATTGGCAAATAGTTTTCCTCTCAGAATCGGAATGTACTTTACATCTATGCAGTGTGCCAGCTTCATTGGTATATAAAACAATGGCATTTTAAGATCAGAAATCATGTGATCTAGGATGACTGAGAATTGAATTTAGCAAATCATAGACCTTTGGTGACCTTGACCTAAAAGTTTCAGGACAGGGAGGGAGAGGGGTGTTCAAGTAAATGGAAGGAGAGAAGTGAGACTATTGGCCATCTTCAGGGCTTTGCAGTGCAGGGAAGTAGAGAAGGAGTGTGCGGAGTAGCTGGGGAGGCAAGTAGGAGTCTAGAGAATTTTGCTTGTTGGCATTTTAGGATTGAGGCCATGAGAGCATGGCTGTGTGCTGAGGGGACCCTCTCTGTGGAGAGGGAGAAAGGTAAGTCAGAGAGGAAGGAGGCCAGTAGGGACAGAATAAGTGATGGTGCCTGCATGAGTCAGAAGGAAGGCAGGCCTGGGGACAGACAGTGGAGTAGAGGGGACTGAGGGACCAGGGGGCTCTGTGGATACTCTCCCCTGCTTCAGTTTTCCTTAGTTCAGAAGAGGAAACAGGTCATCCATTGAGAGCAAGGGCATGGGGAGTATGGGGTTGAAATTTAGAAGAGAGAAGATCAAGTGTGAAATAGTAGCCTAGGACAGACCAAGGGCGATGGCCTAGAGAAATAGCCGGTGGTTCCCGGGCAGTACTGCGTGTGATTCAGCATGCAAAAGTAAGACCAATGGGCCGGATTTCCTACCTTCCTCTGGCCCTTATCAGCTGTGGGGGTGCAGGCCTCAGGTCAGAGGTGGCTTGCCTGAGACCTGTGAGTTCATCAAGGAGGTGTATGTATGCACAGAAGAGGAGCCAGGGGATTGAGAGGTTATCAAAGGACAATGTAAGGGTTGACCACAGATTGCTTCCCCAGCTTTTCTTCCCCTTTCCAGCTCTGAACCGCCAACATTCTCATGCAAATACCAGTGATATTTAGCTCTTTCTCTATTTTGAAAGAGTCTCACTTGGGTCTTAGCACCAGCTCATTTTTTTTTAATATGGTAAGATCAGTCTATTGAAGCACAAGTGGTAGATAAGTAGGGATCCACAGAAGCAATGGTGCACTGCTTGAATGGTTTATGGCATTACATGTATTTCTTGATAGACCTGCCCTTTATGGTATTTCATGTCTATCCCTGTATTCTTTCACCCAATACCAAATGGACTGAGTGCAAAGAGTAATTGAGTTAATAGTATCTGATAAAATTGTTTTGCTAACTAGCTTCCCCCCCCCACCCTCTTTACAAACATGCTTTAGGCACTTGATGATTTATTAAATAAAGGTGCACCTATATTTCTGGTTACATTTGGTCAACATCATCTCTTAAGCAAGTTTTCTTTGGTCCGAGCATACTTTCTCACAAGTGTGGCTGCAACAATCAATTGTATCTCAGAAAGTATATTGAAGACATCCCTGCAAGGATCTGTTTCAGAGAAAAGTAAAGGAAACCTCTTAAACATAAAAGGTAATTTTTGTTTACTTTTTCCCCTTGCTTCCCATTCTTCTTCTCACCTCCAATCATTTCCCAGTCCAATCCTAATATTCCATATGACTAATCCTACTACATGTTCTTAATATTTTCACTGAGCTCATGATTACACACATATGTGCTTATATTAGGTTTATGCATGTTCATCCAAATACAAGGGGGAACCCCCAAACCCAGATATTTTTTTTCCCACAGATGTGTATTTAAATTATTTTACAAAACAACCTTTTTACCTCCAAAGTACTCTCCACTACACTTAATACATTTGTCAAATCTGTGATTCCATTCTTGGAAACGTTTTTCAAACTCATCTGGTTGGATGGCTGACAGCACCTCTCTCGTTTTTTTCTTCACCTCTTCTATGTCATCAAATTGGTGTGCTTTCATGTCCCTCTTCTTTCGCAGAAACAAAAAGAAGTTACACAGAGCAAGGTCAGGTGAGTGAAGCATGGGGCAAGAGACACATGCTGGTTTGTTTGTTTTTATTTTGCCTCAAACTGGCACAATGAGATGGCTACAGGAGCAGGTACATTGTCGTGGTGGCAAAACCAGTCCCCCGCCTGCCACAAATCAGGCCTTTTTTGTCTCACACTGTTATGCCATCTTTTCAGAACCTCTGAATAGAGAGCTTGATTGACACCCTGCCCTGGTGGAATGAACTCCAAATGCACTATCCCCTCACATAAAAACAACAACAACACAAAAACCAAATGAGCATCATCTTAATCTTTGATTTCACTTGGGGGGCAAGATGATGGTGGCATCTTCCACTGGCTTGTTTGATGTTTGGTTTGGGAGTCATAAAAATAACACCATGTCTCCTCACCAGTAATGACCTTGGGGAAAAAAGTCTGGGTCACTTTGGGACTGTTCTTTCAAAGCACGCCGTGTTTCCACTTGATGCCCTTTTTCCTGGTCAGTCATAACCTGAGGCACAAATGTCATCGTGACCCCTCTCATTTCCAAATCTTCATTAAAATTCGCTGAACCCAGCTCCAAGATAGTCCAGGTAACTCCCCCATCTCTGCAGTGGTCTGTCTGGTCTTCAAGCACAAGTACATGACTTTTGTCAACATTTTCGTCCATTTGGGAAGTTGACGGATGTCCACAATGAGGTTTGTCATCAATAAACATTTCACCTTTTTTGAAACAAGAAAACCGCTTGTACACTTGAGTTTTTCCTACAGCACTGTCCTGGTAAACTGTGTTCAACATCACAGCAATGTCTGTGTCAGTTTCCACTCTTCTCTTAAACTGGCAATCACAAACATGAGGTTCCAGTGGGACTGCTTTCACGAAAAAGTTCCCTGTGACCAGAGAGAATCTTCCCAGGTGATGGCACGGGTGCATTCATTCAGAGTGGGTTTCTCGATGCTCACCTTAGTGGGAAAAATGCATGGTCGGAAAGTTCTGCCTAGTGGGGTTTTTTCCCATTTGTGGGGGTGGGGGTGGGGGGGTGGATCCCCTCATAGATCCAGGGCCATACACATTTTCATATGTAAACACCCATGCTGTTAGGTGCCATGGACTTGGTTCCGGTCCACAGTGGCCTCATACACGACACAAGGAAACATTGCCCAGTCCTTTGCTAGCCTCACAATTGTTCCAGTGCTCTCTGCAGTCACGGTGTCAACCCATCTCCTTGAGGGCCTTCCTCTTTTTCGCTGCCCTTCTGCCCTACCAAGCATGATGTCCGTCTCCAGTGATCGGTCTCTCCTGCTATGAGTCCCAAGTTTGTCAGATGAAGTGTAGCCGTCCTAGTCTTTAAGGAGCTGCTCCGGCCTTGGTTCTTCCAAGACAGATCAGTGTGTCCTTTCAGCAGTCCACAGTGCTTTTCAATATTCTTCTGCAGCACCGCAGTTCATATGCATAAATTCTTCTTCGGTCTTCCTAATTCCGTGTTCATCTTTCACAAGCATATGAAACAAGTGAAAATACTATGACTTGGGCGAGGGGGCACCTTCGTCCTCAAAGTAACATCCTTGCTTTCCAACACTCCAAAGAAGTCTTGCGTAGCAGATTTACCCAGTGCAGTGTTCTGTTTGGTCTCGTGACTGCTGTTTTCATGAGCATTGATTATGGATCCAAGAAAGACAAAATCCTTGACAACTTTAGCTTCTTCTCCATTTATCATGACGTTACCTGTTGTTCCCGTTTTGAGGATTTTGGTCTTCCTTGTATTGAGTCATATGTAACCCTGCTGAAGGCTGCAGTCCTTGATCTTCATTAGCAAGTGCTTCAAGTCCTCTTCACAGTCAGCAAAGATGGCTGTGTGTCATCTGCATATCTCAGGTTGTTAATTAGTCTTCCTCCAATCCTGATGCCGTGAGCTTCTTCCTATAAACCTGCTTCGCTGATTATTTGCTCAGCATACAGATTGAGTAAGTATGGTGAAAGGATGCAACCCTGAAACACACCTTTCCTGGTTTTACACCATGCAATATTCCATTGTTCTGTTCTCACAACCACCTCTTGATCCATGTACAAGTTCAGTATGCACACAACAAAAACACAAAACAGAGTCATAAAAGCTGCCAAAAATAGCAAATAAAATAGAGAAAAACCTAGTTAGAAAGAAAATTTAAAAACCCACAACTTTAAAAATGTTCAAATGGGAGATCAAATGATAAGGTGTCATAATTTAACTTAATTATATCTGTCATTATTCACTTTCCAGTGTTTTCTATATGATAGCAAGCGTATTCACATCCCTGGTCTATGTTCATAGGGGATTCACCCTTCACTTTTTTTTTTTAATGCTGGAACTTTTAGGTGTGTTAAAAGGGGAACAAATCAAATGTTACATTTTAACCATTAAAATAAGATATTACATTTTAATACTTTAATCTACTATATTCGTCTCTACAATACTCTCTGATAAACAGACAATTCATATCCCTTCAGAGCCGTCAGAGGAAAGTCACTGGAGATTTAATCTATGTGTAGATCCTGTAAATGGATTTTGGGCTTCCGCTGTCATCCAGTCTTCTGCAAATCATGAGTTCACAATTTAAGCTCTGATATATACCCTCCTTTAGATAGGGATTATATTTTTTGCAATCTTTGGATCACAGGCTGGCATGCTTCCACTTTGGGTCACACAGGCTGATATGCTTCTTGGACTTAGTTGATGCCTCACTTAGATGGCTACTTATTTGAAGACGAGCTTTAAGACCCCAGATGCTAGTCTTTTTGATAGTCAGGCACCATCTAATTTCGTGATTACACTTTGCTGTAGCTCCCATATCTTCAGTAACTCTTCATGCGGGGGCTGTAAAGAGCAGGGCGGTGTCATAAGAACTACTTGTTCTTATATTGGGGCTAGAATTAAGTGCCCAGAATTAAGAGCCCCCAATCTAGTCATTTATCTATGGCTTATATATGCCTCTGGCTCACCTTAGAGACCTCATTGTCCTTTTATGTTAGAGAAGATTATCAATCCTCTCCCTGGGGCATAAGGTCATTCTGTTGGTCATGTCATCCACTTAACCAAAGGTGAAGAATTTAAAACATAGTTGAGAAAAGGAGATTATACAAGTGTAGGCTGGTTATTAACCACAATACATGAATAATTATTATTCACTTTTACAGATTAAATCCTTAAGTGACTGAATATATTAACACAAACAATGGGGATGGGCAGGAATGATTTGTGCTTTTTCTCTCTTCTGTACTTTGGAAGCCAGATTTACTGAAGATAGGCAGTGACTAACTGAAATCATCTCATTTCTTCCTGGTTCAAAACAAGGAACAAATTTGAATTGTGAGCAGGGATTTTGAAAGAGTGATTTCAGTTGCACTGTTTCAAATGTCTCTCTTCTGTTCTTTTTTGTTGTTGTTTGTTTGGTTCTATTTATTTATTAAATTTTTTTTTCTCTCTTCTGTTTTCAGTAGAACTGATGCTTCCAAAGAGACTGTACTGAAATAGCAGAAATATCTGAAGCATCTAAATTACTTTGAGTATTTTAAGGTGTCCTAGATACCATTAAGGTGCTTTAGATTAGTAACTGATAGCTTGAATGATTTCAGTAAGCACTCAAAAGATCCTTTCATAATTGTCTGATTCATTCGAAGACTCTGCCTTCTATGCTGATTTAAGCCAATAGAAGTTTATGCATTAATTGGACTAGAGATATATTTCTAATCATCATTGTGTTTTTAAAATTATTATGTGACTGTTCTTTATCAGATCTGTGGAGAGTGTGTTTCCACACTAATAATGAGTTGTGAAAGATAAGATTAATATTTAAACTAACTACATATACCCTTTCCTCCCAAATTTGTGCCTTTATAGAGCTACTCTTAAAGGAGGACAGTGGCTCACATACTCAGCTTATACGAGCTAAAGATGAATTCGTTCTGAGCAGGCTAAAGGTAAGCTTGGAAAAATTTCCAAATCATAATAATGCCACTACCAAAATGTCCACTGCTAGGTCCTGGACTGGTCCACTTTCAGGTTTGGGCTTGCCTTTGGAAGATTGGGGTGGCTTTTCTTAAGCATAGATTGGGACCAGAGATGAAGTGTACCACCAATGGGAAAAGTAACTGCCCAGAAGGATCAGTCTTTGAGTTTACAACCTGAATAAGATGCTGCAGAAAATATGATTCATTGTTTGATTGGATCTGAGTATTCTGTGTCCTGTGATTCTCATTTTCTAACCATAATAATGATGATAGCAGCGACATGCTGCAGGGCAGATATTTCTCACAATTATTTTGTTTTCACAACTCTATGACCTAAGTATTAATCATATTAATTTAAATAACTTATTTATATTGTATGTTTTTAAATATTTTATATTTTATTCTTTCAATAACATTAATCATTTTAAAAATCCTATTGTGCAGATCTGTGATGAGACTGAGGCTTAGAGATATAAAAAACCATTTGATTTCATGCAATTAATAAATGGCAGAGCTGTTAGTAGGACCTAAGTCTTTTTGATTTAAATATTTGCTCTTAATTATTTCATAAACTGCCCTAGTATTTATGTAATAGTACCGCTCTATATTAGCAAGTTTTCAAAGCCCTGTTGCTTGTAAGATATTTGATTCATTTCTCCTCTGTTGTGTAAGCTGCTGTTTGCTCTTAATGGGTCACTCTAAAATGCCATTAATTTCACATTACCAGTTTGTTGATCATAGCTTACTTTGGGATACATTTAGTTAAAGGTAACTATTGTACATAAAATGGAGCTTTGCTGGTATAGTGGTTATGCATTGGGCTGCGATCTGCATGGCCAGCAGTTCAAAACCACCAGCAAGCATCTGAGGATGAAAAACTGGGGTTTCTATTCCCGTAAACAGTTACAATCTCAGAAACCCAGAGGGGCCTCGAGGAGGTGCGCTATGAGTCAGTAATGACTGGATGGCAATGGGTTTTTAAATGTTATTTTATGGTACATAACATAGGGCCCGGGTCGGTCAGTGGTAGAATTCTCATCTTCTTTGTGGGAGATGTAGCCAGTTCCTGGCCATGACACCGCATGGGTTTCTTATCAGTGGAGGACTGCGGGTTCCTATGAGGCTGAATGGGCTTCAGCTGAGCCTCCAGAACGAAGACTTAAGAGAGAAAGCCTGGTAATCCACTTCCAAACTCAGCCTCAGAAAGCCCTGTGAATCACAACAGTCTGATCCACAAGGGATCATGGGATGGCACAGAACCAGGTGGCGAGGAGGGAAGGTGAGCGCCATCTCCCAGGGCAGCTGACCGCATTTCTGGCGATAGCTCTCCTTTTCAGTCTCTATTAACCATCAGCCCACTTCCCTGAGCTCACTCCTTTGTCTGAAGATAACCAGTGTCCTTATGAGTCCTTCATTCATTGCGACGTTTCTAAATGAAACTATTTGCTGAATGAGAATGAGATATTGTTAGGACCGTTTCTGAAGTTACACCACTTTTGTGTGGTGCTCTTTCTTCAGTCAGTTTTATTGATGGACGTGGAAGAGAAACTCAACTTCCTTCTATCAGAGGTGGAGTGTCCAACAGGCAGGGACCTCTGTCAGTTTTCTGCGGGCAAGTTGGAGGTCGTCGTGAAAGCTAGGCTCCTGATGGCTGCCATCGCCTTGCAGAAACACCGGGCAGCATACAGGTGAGTCTCTTTGTGTGCCGAAGACCATTACATTTGATGAGGGTTTTTTTCCTCATCCTAATTTGTTATGATTAATTACACTTAGATTGTTTACATCCATCGTAGACATCCTTAGGTCTATCATGCATACTTTATTTTAATATTATTATCATCATAATCAGGGAATTTTTCACACAATATTACACCTAGAACCACAACTGACAACAAAGCAATTGCTTTACTAAAACCCACAACTAGGATATGCCACGTCATACAACGGATGTACAAAATAGCAAGTTTGCATTTTTAGTTTATTGTTAAAGGCAGCACCTGTATTCCCTATAGCTTCTTTTGCATTAAAAAAACACTTTTATTTTGTTGACATTGTTGTGAATCCGCACAAAACATAGCCTAACCCAACCATTTTCTGCATGTAACTGTTCAGTAGAAGTCATGTCAAGACAATTTCTTTTGAGATGGAAGAAATAATATATGTTAATGAAAAGGACCCAGAGAGGGGGGAATTAGTAGCTGATACACAGTGGATAAAGGAGCTTAGTTCAGTTTTCTGTTTCTCTAGCACAGAATAAAATTGATCTCTTCTTTGAGATTCCAGAAAGGCCTGTGGGAGGCGGGGTGAGCAGCAAGGAAGCTAGCTGCTTGCCCAGAGTTAAACAAACAAACCACTAGAAACCTTCACTGCCACTGAGTCATTCCTGACTTACAGCAACCTCGCAAGTTGCTCAGAGTAGAAATAGAAAAAGAATCACCCAAAAGAAATATCATTAGCAGCTGTGGGGTCCAATTTAATATTGCCTGTACAGTGTAAAGTAACCGGTGTAAGGCACCTCTTTCAAAAACAAGCAGAGCCTTACAACTAGCTCTGACATTATAGGATTGGAAGAGAGCAACAACTGAACTACCCCGTAGGGACCAACCTCAGAAATGCAAGGCTCCTGTGAAAACCACTCCCACTAGAGATAAGCGTACAGTAAAAAATGATCATCCCAAGGAGAAAACAGCTGTAAATGAGTTAGTGGACACAATAAATAGCAGCCTGCACAGCTCAAGAACTAAAGATAATATCTGAAAAGGGATATTAAGGATGGAAGAAAATCTTTTAAGAAATAATAAGGTAATGTTTTTGTCTTTTGTTAAAGATTAATTTGGGGAAGTACCATACATTCTGAAATGAAGTGCAAAAGAAGTAATAACTGAAAGAAAACAAGAATGTATCAAATTAGATGAAAATACTTTTTATTTAACATTCCTCTTCTTCATCTATGATGACATTCCATGCATTAAACTGTATGCATTGGTGTTTTGGAATTTGAGGAGGGTTGAATTTTCAATTGTTGGTACCTTTAAGCAAAAGAAGACCATCCAAAGGAGAAGTAAATAGAAATATCTCTTGGCTTTTATGGATGGGGAATGTAAGTCACCTCATCAGTATGAGCCTTCACTTGAATTCCATCCAAGTCCGAATGGCAGTGTAGCCTTACGGTGACTGACAATGTTGACGGGTTCTGAGTAGTGCTGCCGAGCCAGGCCATGTGTTCATCAAAGGGGTCCACAGACCTCTCAGCGTCCCCACGAGTCTTTCATGGGTTCTGCAAGGCAGAGCTAATTTTAATAAATAAAGCCATCATTTGCCTTCTTCATTGTGTTAATATTTTCACTGATTTTACAAAAACAACAATGATGAAACTGGTGCCTCATCATGAATCAAAGAGCTGCCACCAAATTCTTCACTGTCATACACTGTGGGCAAAACCCACAAACACACAAAGAAAGCCAGTTTCACTTACGAATGTCCTTTTGAAGCAGTGTACTCAATTTATAAACCTCTCCTTATATATGTATTCTATTGTTCTGTGGGGTATAGTAAATGGAAAACACACCCAGCATGCTTCTGCTGCATATTAGAGATGGGTAGTTAGCATGCATGTGACTGATTGGGCACTAAATTAGCTACTCCCCCCCCCCCATGGACACTATTTAAAAAACACCAAAATTGACAAACTGGTGATTCAGGCTGGAACATTTAGTAGACATTGTACTGAATACTTCTAGAAAAACAATTGATAGTATATATTGCCAATGATAACATTTGAACTTTCAAGGGAAATTAGAATTTTGGAAAACTTTCATTTATCATGATGAGCTTGATAGTTTGTGAATTCTTACATTTTTTGGATGTGATTAGTGGCCATAATTACAAATCAGTGTGTGTGTGTGTGTGTGTGTGTGTGAGATATTATGGAATGGAATGTGTCACCATTTGGAGAATTTACTTAACTTAGGGGACCAATATTTTCCAAATGATCAGTGCATATTACAAAACCCTGGTCAGCAGTTATATTCAAACAGCAAAGTAAATCAATTGATTTTAATGTTTTATAGGGGAAAGTTCATTAATATGTGGTGTTCATGTCAATAATGAAATGAACTTTTAAGAAACTATCACTTGTCACATTTTTCTGTAATGTAAGAATATTCATAATTATTAGAAGAGGTTATTAAAATATACCTCCCTTTTCCAACATCAATCTGTGTGAGGCCTAATTTTTTCATATATTTCAGCCCAAACTATCACAACAAATTGAATTAAGAAACATATATGAAAGTCTTTTATTATGTAGAAATGCCTTTTATTCAGCCAAATATTAAGGAAATATACAAAAAATGCAAAGCAGTTCCACTAAACTTTTAAAAACATACTTATTAAAATTATTTGAATATTAATGTATGACACTTTCACTATTTTTATTTTAGGCAATTTGTTTTAGACAAATCAATGACATTTAAATGTTCTAGCTTGATTTCTAATATGGTAAATATTGATAGAGCTTTTAATAAATTTAAGAGTAAAGAGAGGTGAAAATTGGAAGTTGTCAAAAATAGGGTGCTTGAAGAACTGTATCCTCAGCACGACTGAGCTGAAATGGACTGGACTGGGATTGGCTTCATACTATTTGCTATGCTGAGAATGACAAGTTTAAGAGAAATGGATTCACATTTGTCCAAAGGAACATTTCAAGATCTGTCCTGGATTACAACCCCTTGTCGGTGATGGGACAATACCCAAATCACCTACGAGAATTATTAGTTAATTCAACTATTGTTCAAATGAATACACCAACCACTAATGCCCCAAATGAACAAATTGAAGGTGTTTGTTTTTTTTTTACCAACTTCTGTGCTGTGAAACTTATCAAACATGCAATCAAGAGGCAATCAAGATGGATGACTGGAATTTGAAAGTTGGAAACAAAGGAGGATTGGTAGTTGGAAAATATGTTCTTGATGATAGAAAGGATTCTGTCACATGTTGAAGTCCTGCAAGACCAGTGACTTATTCATTGGAAACATCCCCTTTCAACTACACAAACCATGATTATACGTGTAGACCCCTCTCCCCCACCCCACCCAATAGAGAACACAGGAATTAAATTGACTATGCTGAGGAAATGGACGATGAAGAAAGCTCAGTATTATCAGTCAGAACAAGGCCCAGGACTGACTGCAGAACAGTCTGTCAATTGCTAATCTTCAAGTTCAAGTTGAAGCTGAGGAAAGTTAAAACAAGTCTGCAAAAGCCAAAGTACATCCTTGAGTATATCCACTTGAAATTAGAGACGAGCTCAAGAACAGATTTGACACATTGAGCACTAAAGATTGGAGACCAGGTGAGTTGTGAGAGATATCCAGCACATCAGACATAGGAAAAGCATAAGAACATTAAAAAACAGGAAAGATCAAAAAGTCCAAAATGGATGTCAGAACACACTCTGAAACTTGCTCTTGAATGTAGAGTAGTTAAAGTGAAAAAATGAAATAATAAAGTATAAAGGCTACCTTAAATACTCCCAAAGGGTGTCTCAGGAAGACAAAGTATTATAATGAACTGAGAAACCATCTGGAGTTAGATTACCATAAGAGAAGAACACACTTAGTATTTCACAAGATGAAAGAGTGGAAGAAAAAAATTCAAGGCTTGGTTTGCAATATTGAAGGGTTTTGTGGGTAAAATACTGAAAGATGCAGGAAGCATCAAAAGAAGATGGGGGATATGAATAAACTTGTCATCCAACAGAGAGCCTTGTAAGGTTGATTATGGCAGCTGTAGTTAGGTGACAATGTAATATCTTATTATTTTATCTCCCTTCTGGCCCATTTTAAAGTTTGAAAAGAGAAAAGTAAAAGGGAAATACTTAAGCCTCTGGTGAATCTCCTCTGACCATAGACCAGGGATGTGATAGCCTTGCTGTCGTGTAGAGTGCATTGAAAGTGGATTATTGCAGATGCAGTTATGTTACAAGTTAATACCTTATCATTTGATATCCCCTTCAGATAATTTTTAATTTGTTCTGATTTTTATATTTTCTGCTTTCTTTTTGAATGAGGTTTTTCTGTTTTATTTTGTATTGTTAGCTTTGTGTGTGGTATGTGTATGTTTTTCTGTATATGAGATCCAGGGTAGGTAAAGCTATAGACAGTAACTGGATTCGTGGTTTTGGGGGGGTATGGCAGGGGAGGTTTGGGAGGTAATGGGGAGCTAATAACAATAAGTGCAAAAAAGAAGAAAATGTTCTAAAGTTAATTGTGGTGAAAATTGTACAACTCTTTTTAATATGATTGACCTGTTGAATTGAATTTTTTAAAAAAATAAGAGAGGTCACTGTATCAAAAAGAATTAGTTGGTATCCAGAAATTTTAAAAAATCACTATCATTGATTGAGTCAATTCTGACTCATAGGTACCCTATAGCACAGAGTAGAAGTGACTGTGCATTTCCAGGACTGTACATCTTTGCAGAAATAGGAAGTCTTTCTCCCTTGGAGCACGTGGTCGTTTCTAACAGCTGACCTTGTGTTTAGCAGCCCAGTAAGTAACCACTATGATACCAGGTCTCCTTTGAGCCATTTTAGGATGAAGCATCTGATTAAGATGTGATCGCACTGAACAAGAAGTTCACGATGCACTAGAGGCATTTATGAAAAGCAAGACCCCGGAAATGG